ACTCCAGTATAAGAGATGATGGGTGTACTGTGTTTACTCCAGTATAAGAGTGTAAGCACACATTGCATTTATTGTATGCTGGATCATTAAACTTTGACTTATTTAGTTTATGCATTACTAATAGAGCAAATATGGTATTATTTACACAATATTATAGCCAGTGACAAAGAAATTTGTCTTTTTCACTCATTCTGGACAATCACTAATCAAGCATCCATATCTTGGACATGTTCTTAATAAATGACCCTGTGACGTCACCTGCACATTTGGAGTTGGACTTTGAATACTACTCTAAATTAAACAATAAAATATAAAAAATAATGTTATTACAAGACGCCAATAGATGTAAAGTTATGAATTCAGTTGTGTTACCATGAACATTGAAGTATGAAATCTGAATAATTGTTTCCTTAATTATTACTCAGGTCTATTTATATATAGACTAATTTACAAACTCCTCATAGTTGATAATGCTACTGTCATTGTAGGTATCCATCTTTCTGAAAGACAAAGTACAGAACTCCAACGGTAGATTTGCATTGCCCACCGGTGGTCCTGTACCTTATGGATCCGAAATACCAGGAACTATCAGGTACGTCTTATTCTCATCCACATTATCGTGTGTGCTCATTTACTCCACTATGTAATTATCCATGTGGGTTCTATACTAGTCAATAGTGTTTCTACACTAAATATTTGTGCTATATATGTACATGTGGTTGTCAGTTCATTAGATTTCAACGTTCGTAATTAAGCATGTCGTACATACTTGAAATGAATGTAGCATCATGGAATGCCGTTTGTAATTAGCTCAGTACATGTTTCATGTACATGTACATGTTTCATCATAGGCTGTATATACATATACAAGGTTTCAAATTAGGAAAACTTGAGAATAATTTTGTTTTCAAATTTTCTATTTCTGTTTTCTTTGAAGATATTTTTCCGACAATACGCAAGCTAAATCATCAGATTTCCAAGTTCGTGGTAAATATGTAGCTTCATTACGAGAAGGATCGCACGAGATGAAAGGCGACCGAGTAACTAAACTAGGCACCAATATGTACAATGTGGCTAGGCCGGTTGAAACGCAGATATCTGGTGGTGCTCTGAGAGGAGCTTCCGCATCTTCGGACGTGGTGAGTCTCACTGTAATGATATAGACTGTAAACCGAGTCAGGAATCATGAAGTTTTGTCACAGTGAACATTTCACTGGGGTAAGTCAGGACAGAGAATCACAGTGAACATTTCACTGGGGTAAGTCAGGACAGAGAGTCACAGTGAACATTTAACTGAGGTTCCTCAGGACAGAGAGTCACAGTGAACATTTCACTGAGGTTCCTCAGGACAGAGAGTCACAGTGAACATTTCACTGAGGTTCCTCAGAACAGAGAGTCACAGTGAACATTTCATTGAGGTTTCTCAGGACAGAGAGTCACAGTGAAAATTTCACTGAGGTTCCTCAGGACAGAGAGTCACAGTGAACATTTCACTGAGGTTCCTCAGGACAGAGAGTCACAGTGAACATTTCATTGAGGTTCCTCAGGACAGTGAGTCACAGTGAACATTTCACTAGGGTTCCTCAAGACAGAGAGTCACAGTGAACATTTCACTGAGGTTCCTCAGGACAGAGAGTCACAGTGAACATTTCACTGAGGTTCCTCAGAACAGAGAGTCACAGTGAACATTTCATTGAGGTTTCTCAGGACAGAGAGTCACAGTGAAAATTTCACTGAGGTTCCTCAGGACAGAGAGTCACAGTGAACATTTCACTGAGGTTCCTCAGGACAGAGAGTCACAGTGAACATTTCATTGAGGTTCCTCAGGACAGTGAGTCACAGTGAACATTTCACTAGGGTTCCTCAAGACAGAGAGTCACAGTGAACATTTCACTGAGGTTCCTCAGGACAGAGAGTCACAGTGAACATTTAACTGAGGTTCCTCAGGACAGAGAGTCACAGTGAACATTTCACTGAGGTTCCTCAGGACAGAGAGTCACAGTGAACATTTAACTGAGGTTCCTCAGGACAGAGAGTCACAGTGAACATTTAACTGAGTTCCTCAGGACAGAG